CCCGTACCCTCCCACACAGACACCCAGATTCAGCTGGTTGGGTATGGCACCTGGGAATCTGTATTTTAACAATTTTTTTTTAACAAGGTGTTTTTTTCCAACTGTATTTTGAGAAACAATAATGTAATGGCAATATGGATTATGTCATAAAGTACAGCATTGCCCAAGCCAAGTCACACACTCACAGTTATACCCAAATGGCAGATAATAGAGATAATATCTAGCTTCATAGGAGAGGTTAAATTAAATTAATCCTAAGATGGAGCAAATGGCATTTAAATGAAAACATTTTAAATATCCTGCACATGCACAGCATTAGTGTGCTGTTTCCACAGAGAGGTGGTGAGTGCCCTCAGTGTATCACTGTGGCACACTTAAAAATGGGACTGGCTAATTACATTTTAAACAGCTTCCTCAGTGACTTATGAGCTTAGTGCACTGAGATCTTTTTAAGGCTAGTCATAAAATGCGTACTTTCCAGATGCATAAAGTTCATTGAGGGTTTTTTCCCCAACCAGTAATTAGTTACAGTTCCTTGCATATATCAACAATTTAGAAATATATATATACACACATATATGTGTGTATATATATATCGAAATTTAAATTTTAAACAAGGTGGTAAAAGCATCAGGCTTTCTATATGATTGCCTTTCAGAGTCATTACTATCTGACCATTGTCTGGATTAGTTCTGGTTTTCAGGTGCAGTTATTGCTGAGAACCGAAAGTCAGTTAAATACATGGAATTCCTACTGATTTCTGTGCTCCAGTGTTTAGTTACTATGAGGCCAAGGATGCTGCTAAACATTCTGTAATGCACAGGGCTGCCCCCCAGAGCAAAGAGTTGTCTGGCCCAAAATATCGGAAATGTCACTGCAGAGAAACTCTCCAAAGCTATACTGATGACAAATAAGCTCATAAAAATATACTAAACATCATTAGTAAAACTCCACTCAAATGGGCTTAAACAAGAAAGGGCAAATAAATTGGCACCCATTCGAAAATTCCACAGAGAGATTGACAGCAATCAATCCAAGTGTTTAATGAGACAGTTGCTTTGGGAGGGAGAGAAGGAGGGAGGGAGGGAAAGAAGGAGGGAGGGAAGGAGGGAGGGAGGGAGGGGGAGCCCTCCACTCTTACTAAGCAGACAGGCCCCTGGCTGTTCATGAGATGGATGCCAGCCCCAGTCAAGGTCAAGCTACATGCGTGCTGCCTCTCAGGTTCAGTCTCGTGAGAGCACTTCTGTCCCCAAATCCCAAGCTGATTTACCCTGATTGGCCTGTTTAGGTCATCTGCCCACCCATGATAAAGCAATGCCTGTGGCCAGGAAACAGATTTATGCTGATTACTTTAAACCTGAGCCACATGCCCCAACTCTTGAGTTCTGGATAATGTTAGCTTCCTCCAAAGTTTAAGGATTTTAATGGAGGCGGGGTGACTACCGAGACTTCAGGAAATAGAAATCTCCAAGGGAAGGTGGAAAGGATGTTAGTGAAGCAGGCGTAATGCCTACCGCACACCAACACTGAATTATTCTGAGATGCTTAATTTGGGTTAAAGTTGTGCTTAGTAACTCTTCATGTCTCAGCATTGCCATCATTCCTCAGGGGAAAAAATTTTTTCTAATTATATGTAAAGAGAGAACTAAGAACAAAAATCAAAATCCTGTGTGAGTGTATCAATGTCAGTTTTTCCTTGCAATTAACAATACAGTGTGACCCTTCATTTCTGCTTGCAGACGTGCTTGCAAAATGGCTCATTAAAAAAGAACATAGCAGTGAGTTGTTACAAGTGTGGAAGTTAGTGTTTAAAAATACTCTGTGTTGAAAGGTTCCCCCAGCCACCCTAACCGGTTGGTTACACCTTGTGCGAGGATACAATGTCGTGCTCCCCAATAACACTCCTCTCTGGCCCACGGCCTTCTCCTCTGGGCAGGACGTGCTCATGGAGCTCCTGGAGCAGTGTGCCGATGGACTCTGGAAGGCCGAGCGCTACGAGCTCATCGCCGACATCTACAAGCTCATCATCCCCATTTACGAGAAGCGGAGAGACTTTGAGGTATCTGAGTGGTGTGTTTTCCCAGTTTAGAGGACAGTGGAGTGACATATATATAACCCTAGACTTTCTTACATGCCAAGAGAGCAGGCAGGCCATTTTCAGAGATGAGCACGTGGTCTCCACATGATGCTGGCTCGTCGGCACCCTCAGGGCCACCAGGCGCCTCACACACAAGCCCCATCTCTATACAGACCCCAAATCTTGAACAACAAGGGTTGGTAGTTCTGGCACTCCATTTTTGAAAGGTTGCCAGGAACAGTTTTATAATCATCAGGTGCCTTTTTTTCTCAGTACACTTTGTTGTTCCACCTGCATGGAAAAGCAAGTCTCTTCCATTCTTTCTGAGCTGGGAGGTCATCCAGCTTTTCTTAGCATATCAAACAGAGTAGGAAAATCAAGGACTGAAAACATCATTATAGGACTTTATCATCTCCCACATTCACATTAACTTGAAAGCAGAATTTGTTACTGCATTGTGGGAATTTGGTGGGTCCTCATGTGCACGCTGGCCCTTTGGGTAGGAAACATGACAATTCAAAAATGATCACTACCAGTTGTGCAATCAAAATATATTCATGATTTTTTTTTAAACTCAAGTCCAAGGATGTTTCACCCACACGATCTCATTTGTTATTTTTAAGTTGATTCTACTAGTTGCAAGTGGGAAGAAATGGGTTTTGTTCTGCTTTCCAGAGGCTCGCCCATCTGTATGACACACTCCACCGGGCCTACAGCAAAGTGACTGAGGTCATGCACTCAGGCCGCAGGCTCCTGGGCACCTACTTCCGAGTGGCCTTTTTCGGACAGGTGAGCCTTCTCTGTTCTGTAGGCTGTCTCAAGTCCTCCCTCCCCCTTTTTTTAACTCTATAAAATTGTATTTTGTACCTTTTCTGCTTTCTAGAAATGCAAATTTGATGAATTTGTCATATTTAGTATGATTCTCATCTTCCGCAGTAGTAAACTTTCTGCTTTTTTTTTCTTTCTTCCTGTCTTTTCTTTATTACTTTCTTAAGGCAGCGGTAAGTTCTCCCTCCATCAGACTTTCTTAGCAGCACCTTTGGTACTTCACGTGGTTTGCAAGTTTCCCTTGCAAGTCTGTATGTATATCTGTCCAGTCATTACAGACTCCAAAAGCATTAACATTTTGTTCCATTTACAGAAATAAATCATCTGTTCCTCATACATCTATACTGCATGTTTTAAACCAAAATTAAGACTTCCTGGTTTCTTTTGACCCGTGCATCTCTACCTCTTGTAATATAATATCTCCACCAGTATATTTACCATTGTAATATTTCAGAAACCCTGTTTGAAAGGGTTAATTTAAATTTAACTGAACGTTTAACCTCCAAGTCTCTAACATGATTAAATGGTATAAATTATAATCCATTTATTTAGGTCGGGTGGTTTTTCTATGAGTATTATATAACATTCAATTTATCCTGTTATTGTCTTTTATAACTTTATAGCAATACCAGTTTACAGACAGTGAAACAGATGTGGAGGTAATTACAGTAAATGCTTAATAAGTAAATAATGTAGTGAAATTACTGCATCTAAACTCCTAGTTTGATGTGGGTGTTTTTCGTTTCATGTAAGCCTGCATTTTTTTTTTTTTAATATATATACTGTGGTTTTGGCACCATTTTCTCTCTTCTATTTTAGATGAGAAATGTTTTGTTTTAATTTATTTCAAATATTAACCCCAATCTGGATTTTTAAATTTTCGACCTTTTTCACTTCCCATGTAATACTAAGCCTTGTTTTATTCAGACATGATTGGTGCTAAAACATGGTGATGATGAAAATATTGGTTATATGACACCAGATATGACTGGTGACATTAAAAATATTTTCTGATATCATGCTATGGCCCTTTAATATTTTCCTCATCAATAAAGCAAAATTGAATTTATACACACTTTACATAGCTTTTGCTGAACCCACTCCGGACCTGAATGCTTCCTCGTATGCAGTAAAGTCCTGTATGAGTGGGACCGGTCAGGAGAAGCCGTGTGTGTACCTTTCTGAGGCCCGCCTTGAGCAGGCTGCTGAATCATTTCCTAGTGAGTTCTGTTTCTTGGGAATGTGAAACAGGCTTGAATCCCATCATCAGGCTTCACCGAGAGAACACAGCCTTGAATCCCCAACCTCTCATTTCACTCCACACTTAATGACAGCATTCTTGAATGAGTTTGCAATGTTGTGTTTTTCCTTTATCTTTGCACCCAGACTTCATATTATTATCATTCTCTTTCCTATTTGAAAAGCCTATCTAATTAGGATTTTATTTTATAATCATTTTTTTTCCTTTTTTTTTAACCCTTGTAAAAAAGAACCCTTCCTGGGTCGTAGCCTTGGTCTTGTATTTGGTGATAGTTCTCTAATTGTGCTCTGTGTCACAGGGATTCTTTGAAGATGAAGACGGAAAAGAGTATATTTATAAAGAACCCAAACTCACGCCTCTGTCGGAAATTTCTCAGAGACTCCTTAAACTTTACTCAGATAAATTTGGTTCTGAAAATGTCAAAATGATACAGGATTCTGGCAAGGTAGGACTATGTTTGGAAACATTTTATGGCAGTATAATATTGTTCTGATTAGTAATGATTTGCAATATATATTAATAAATGTGTATAGAAAAAAAAAAATCAAAGACCCAGGAAAAATTAAGAATGGTTGGCCTTAAGTGACAAGTGTATGTTTTTCTTCTTAACACCTTTCTGTGCATTCCAGATGTCCTTCATTAAGCAAATTTTTATTTTATAATTTTAAAAAGACATTCATTTACAAAATAATGTCTGAAAGGATATTCCTTCTTCAGTCCAGATATTTAGAAACTCTGTAAGAGGAGGGTCCAGGGTTTCTGTTTCTCATAGCACTTTTCCGTTGCACTCAGCACAGGCATATTACCTGACACTCTGATTGGTGGACATATGGACAGATGGACCAGCAGATGGACACAGCAAGGAATGAACTAACTAGCCAGCACATTTGTAGGAATGAGACCTACCGTCTACCTAGAGAGGCTGTCCTCTGCCATATTGCTCTCATGCAGACCCTTTCTGAGCCTGCTTTGCTTTTCCTGCACATGTATATGTCCCACTGTGTTCAGGATGTCTCCAGGAAATGGGTATCCTTTCCCTTCCAGAAACTCAGGCCAAGATAGAGCCCCTGTTCTTTGCATTAAAAGTGCTTCTCCTGCTCAGTTTCCAGCAATGATAAGCTCTCCCTCTTTCTAAGTCCACCCTTTAGGATGTTCCCTAGTTCACTTTCTGTCCTGAGCCCCAGTGTCTGGAATCTGTCTCCTTGGGGCCTTCATTTTCTCCAGAGAAGAATCTTCCAGCCTCCTGCCCAGTGGTGGGGAGGGGACAAAGAAAGGGCAGGTTCTGGATTCTGGATGCAGGGTACTGACAAAGGCTGGAGGTTCCACGTTGGGCCTGCGGCCTTTCACCTACTTGACCTGTGTTCCGCTCTGTACCTTATTCCTGTTTTCCACTGACATTGGTGACCCCACTTAGACTTTTTCCAGGCCAGTTTCTCTAAGGAGCATTCTCTTGTGGGGCAAAGACTAGGGAAGGGAACCTGGGGTTCTGCCCCTCCAGATGGACTTGGGGCGACTTGCCCTGGTTTCTGCCCCACACCTCCCCTGGTCATCCTAATCCTAGTGCTGATGCTCCACGGGTATCAGTCCGGTCAGGCTGCTGTAACAAACACCATAGACTGAGTGGCTTATAAACAACGGAGATTTATTTCTCACAGTTCCAGGGGCTGGGAAGTCCAAGATCAAGGTGCCAGCAGGTTCAGGGTCTGGTGAGGTCCTTCTTCCTGGTTCATAGGCGGCGGTCTTCTCTCTGTGTCCTCACGTGGTGGGAAGGATGGGGGAGCTCTGGGGGCTCTCTTTTCTAAGGGCACTAATCCCATCATAAGGGTTCTACCCTCGTGACCTAATCACCTCCCACCTTCTAGTACCACCACATTGGAGGTGAGGATTTCAGCCTGTGAATTCAGGGGAACACAGGCAGACATTCAGTCTATAGCAGCAGGCTTCTCAGGGGTGCTCTGACCCACTGTGACCTTCTCTCTTGGAACTCGGGTTAGAACTTCTTCACCCTGCCGAGTCAGAGCACACCTCCATCCACCGCCTTCCAGGAATTCATTAAACTCTCTCATCCACTGCTGTCTTCTCTTCTCTTTTCTTGGTCCTTGCAGGTTAATTCCATACTGTCCTTGTCACAGATTTGCACAAAGGAAGAGGGATAGACACTCGGTGTTGGTCCGTTTTTAACCAGGAACCTCAATACAACCTTATTAAGGCCTACTTTCTTCTAGATCAAGTCACTCAGGTCCAATTTGCATGTCTCTCTGAAATGGAAACCTTTGTCTGGGCCAAGCTCTGGCTTGAACATTGTAGCCTTTTCTCAAGTTCTCCTTCCCCTTTTCATATGGAGTCCTTGACGCAGCAGGTGAAAGGCTTCCTAGTAGACCTTCTCTTGCCCTAAGTGCCAGTCCTCCGTTCCTCCTTCTGATACTTACGTGAAACTTTGAAAATGAAGACTAAGGAAATACTACTAAAACAATAGGCAAGAACGTTCATTTCCACTGCTCTGAATTGTTTCTGCTAAAGGAAGTTACATTTAATAGGTTTGAATGCAATTATAGTGATTGGCCAGATGGCCTTTTCTAAAATAGAAATCTCACAACTATGTATTTTCTCAACTTCCAAAGGTTAAGGCACTCTCACATCTGTTTTTTGTTTCTCTTCACAAATGTCTCTAGGAGAAGGTGTTGCATGATAATTTGAGACCAATAAAACTATCTTGGCCATGTTTATTTGCCTGCCATTGATTCCAGTACAGTCTCTAAGTACTCTGTGTTCTTTCATGTCCTCTTTTATTGCTTTAGAAGCTTTAATACAATTAATATGTGCAAAAGTGATTTGTCTCCCTAATAAGTTAGCTGTTGGTTTTCTATGGAAAATGCCTACGTTTAATTTTCTAGCGTGTCCCAGAAGTTGGAGCACCATTAATTCCAGAAATGTTTTTTTTTAAAGCAGTTATGTGCTGAGTTAATCAGGAACTAAACTTATGGTTAGATTACTCTTAGATTAGTCTATACCTGTATTAAATTAATTCACCTACATCTGTTTACATCTAATCTGTGTACAGATTAAGGACCTAGGTTTTATTTTATTTTTTATTTATTGACTTTAGAGAGAGAGAAGGAGAGAGAGAACTATCAATTTGTTGTTCCACTTATTTATGCATTCATTTGGTTGATTCTTGTATGTGCCCTCACCAGGGATTGAACTCACAACCTTGGCTTATTGGGACGATGCTCTAACCAACTGAACTACCCAGGCAGGGCAGTTGAGGACCTAGATTTTAAACATTTTTTTCCAAAATAAACATTTCAATGTCATGGAAAAAAATAGTGGGGAATTAAAAATCTAGATTAAACATGACTAAAGAGACATAACAATTAAATATAAAATGTGATCAAGGATTAGTTTCTGATTCAAACACAAATAGCTATAAATAACATTCTGGGAACATTTGAGAAATTTTAGTACAGACTGGGTATTGGGTGACATTGGGGAATTAGTGTTAATTTTGTTAGATGTGATAATATATTTGGGTTGTGGAAGAGAATGTCCTCGTGTTTAGGAGATGTTGGCTGAAGTGTCACTTTGAAATAGTTCAGCTAAAAAAAAAGTCTACATGTATGTCTGAATGTGTGTGTATATTTGAAACAACTATAGCAAAGCATTAGCAATTGTTCCAAGTGGTAGGTATGTGGGGGTTCTTTGTACTATTTTTTCCAACTTTTCCCAAAACTTTTACTAATAAAAAGTGGAAAAACACAGCCTTGGCATGCTTTGACGGAGTCCTTTAACTAGCACCAACCTTCTATTTCATTATTCATTTAAAGGTCAATCCTAAGGACCTGGATTCCAAGTATGCGTACATCCAGGTGACTCACGTCACCCCATACTTTGATGAAAAAGAATTGCAAGAAAGGAAAACGGAGTTTGAAAGATCTCATAACATTCGCCGCTTCATGTTTGAGATGCCCTTCACTCAGGCTGGGAAGAAGCAGGGTGGGGTCGAGGAGCAGTGTAAACGGCGCACCATATTGACAGGTATGGTTCCCGGGCCCCTTCCCTAAAGAGTCACACCCAGACCGCGGCCTGGACACCGACACAGCTCTCTGGAAGGGATCTAGAATTGGAAGGGTCCTTCAAGCTTAGTTAACTTTCCCCACAAATTCATTTCAGTTTAACGTTTAACGCTTACTTTTTGAGTACTCGTGACATTTTTTCTACTTATCTGTTTGCATTTTCTTCTTCCACCAGACTAGAAGTTCAGATCCAAATGTCAGGTCACTTACCCTTCTTAGAATCTGATGAAAACATAGGGCCCTTATCTCCTCGGAATGCTTTTGCCCACAGTTTCAGGTGATTTACACACTGCTTCTGAAACCCACATGGATGCTTCTTGCGCCCGTGGCCCGCAGGTCAAGAACCCCTGCACACAGTACTGTGTCTTCCTCACGGAAAGAGACCCCTTAGGTTCTCTGCCGCACAGGTCCCAACATGAACCTGCTCAGAGATTTTAAGCTGAGTGAATAAATGGGACATGAGGCTGGATCCCTCCTACCTTGGCTCCAGTTTCAGGAAGCTCACTCCAGTTCCAGGAGCATTCAGAGGCCTCCTGCTCAACTGTTGCAGTTTTAATTAATCTTTGGTACTATAACCCATTCTCAAAAATGTATTTCCCAGTTCCTGACAAGTGTAGAATCATATTAGGAGTGATTTTTTTACCTTCTTGAGGGTTCTTGACTTACCCACTCAGGTTAGGGTCAGCAACATGACTGAGGTAACCTAAAATAAAACACTTTCTTGACTTCAAAAAAATCAATGGGGAGGCCTGTTCAGAGGCCAGGTGTCTCTATCTATATGCACTACCTACGCATGTTTTCCAAGAGCAGCCATAGTTCAGGTGAACCAGGAAGCACCCACTGCTTGTCTAGAGTCAGTGTTGTCAGGTGCTCCCCCCGGGCGATCACATGCGCATTATAACAGTAAATGAAAGAGCGCTGTAAGATGCTGCATTTCAGGTGAAACTCCACTCTCGCCATTGAATGTACACTTTGAATGGGTGATTCTGTGGGATATGACTGATATCTCAGTAAAGCTGTTAACAAAGAATGTGATTCATTACAGAGTAGCTAAGAACAGCATACTGCAGAGAATTCTTCACTCTTCCTGTGAGGGAATTGGGATAAAAGGTTTAAAAAAATTTTTCTCAATCTACATTCTTACAGAAAGAGTTTCAACCCCTGCTCTTAGAATAATAAAATAACATGTAAAGCACAAACAATATTGTCTCTCTCCCATATGTCATGAATTGTTTTTCTAATGGACACAGTAGGACATTCTTATTAAACAAGATAACTACATTTCCAAATGGAGTCATTTTATGAGAATTATCAGCTCACAGTGTTTGTCACTGTAGTTGTGATGACCTTAAATTAGTGCCTATCAAAGGTTGTTCCTGGATCTGCACCATCAGCATCACCTGGAACTTGTTAGAAATGCAAATTCTCGAGTCCCACCCAGACCTATGACTCAGACACTGGGGAGGGGGGGGGGCCCGAGAGTTGTGGTTAACAAGCCCTTCAGGTGACCAATGTCACTCAAGTTTGAGAATTGCTGCTTTAAATAAACCTCATTCACTGATGAGTCAGGGCCAGGAATTTTTATTATTATTCCGATCAGGTAGCATACAGATTCATAAACAGTTACTACCATAGTGTGTTTCCCCTGGGCAGATTTCCTCTAGGGTTACAGTTTACCATTTGTCACAGAAACATTTTAGATTAGATAAACAATGTGAGCAAAGCTCTGTAATTGCAGGAACCAGAGGGGGCCAAGAGTAACTCCACTGCAGGAGAGGCAAAGTAGACACGTGTTTTGTTGGCTCAGGAAATAACCACCTTATACTGCTGGGAGGTTGAGGAAGTGTGGGCAGTGCAAAGCCTGGGCCTGAGTCCTGCAGACCCGGGTCACATCCTCACTGTGTGACCTTGGGCAGGTCACTTAATCTCTCTGTTATTGGTTTCCTCGTCTGTAAAAGGAGAGTTATACTTTCCATCTCATAAAGAATTTTGTATAGCATACCCAGGAGGGGGAAGAATGTACTTCATTTTGCTAAATCTCATCCACCATTGAGCACCTTGCCTCTGAGGTTGATGAGCACCAAAAGGAGATTGTAGTCCAACAAAACATACAAACAAGGGTGTGGTTTGTGCCATGAATGTTCTCAGAATATTAAAAGGATTGTTACTGGGCAGTGTAAAGATTTGGAGAAGAGTTATAAAAATGCTACTAAAAACATGTAAACTCTACGTCAACCTTTAGTTAAAGATACATAAACCAGCATATCCTGAAGACTTTGAACTTGAGAGTTTCCCTCATGTTATTAATCCCCAGGTTCTTGTTTCATTGCATTGCCCCAAGCTTCCCCTTTCACCTTCCAAGACGTGGGGGAGCCCAGGCCTCTCTGCCCTCTGAAACCAGCAAACGCTCACTTTTCCGGATAGTTGAGTCAACTGCAATTTGTGATCATTTAAAAAACCTGATGATTGCCCTCCTGGCCCCTATGGTGTACATTTCTGAGCCTCCCTCCCAACATGATCCCCTTTGTTTCTTCTTTCATAGAACTTCTGGCCTGGAGTTACTTCCCAAACACTATTCCAGTTTTCCAAATCATGCCAGACTCCCACTTAGGTTGGAGATAGTCACCTCCTTTCACCTTCTGCTGAGTCTGGTCAGACCATACAATCACTTCTCAGGCGTCCCTCCTTCACCCGCCTTCTTGAAGAGCCGCAGCTCACTAGTGTAGGCTGTTTGTGAATAAGGTGATGGCTTGCTCAGTCTGTCACCTAATTTTCCACCTTCCAAGCCACTTTGCTCTTTCATTTAGCCATTTGGGCAGTAATACATTCTTTAATTCAGCAAAATTGATTGCACACAGGCGGTGTTCCAGTTGGCATGCTAACAAAACAAAGCTCTCTGGCTTGTGCAGATTAGATGCTGGCAGGAGGAGACAGATGGTAAACAGAAAACATAACGCGTGAATGTACCTGTGTTGGAAGGTGATATATGTTCTGGACAAAAGGATAAAGAGATTAGAAATGTGGGGCTGAGGGGAGGGTTGCAGTTTAAATAGGGTGATGGGGTAAACCTCCAATGGGAAAGCTGTAGTGCTCCTCCATAAAGCCTGTCAGTCTGCCCCATCCATGCACCTCTGCTCCCAGGATCGTTCCCCGTTTCCCTCGCTGGCAGTACCCAGGTCTTGTCACCTTTTCAGAGGAGCCTTTGGTTCAAATGGGATTTACCGATCCAGTGCTGCCACTTAAAACCTGTCCAAAAGAAATAGGAGGGACAGACCCTTGGCCTTAGATTGATAAAACATAAAGAGACTAGAACAGGCCTGTGTGTGACAAAAGAGGTTGTGTCAGCTTGGACACCTTCTCCAGCTTTTCCAGACTTGGGGTGGCCCATTGGAATGCTGTGTTTAATGGGACTGGCCTGTTTCCTCATCTTGTGATAAGTCCTTTCTGAGTAACTCCCCACCCCAGCCACTTACTAAATAGTAACAAATCCAAACTCACACTCTTGTCGTATTATTGCTTCTTAAAAAATAAGCTTTTGCCCGGCCGGGCGTGGCTCAGCTGTTGAGCATCGACCTAGGATCCAGGTGACTGGGGTTCTATTCCCGGTCAGGGCACATGCCTAGGTTGCAGGCTCAATCCCCAGTCGGGGGTGTGCAGGAGGCAGCTGATCAATGACTCTCTCATCATTGATGTTTCTATCTCTGTCTCTCCCTCTCCTTTCCTCTCTCTGAAATCAATAAAGATATATTTTTAAAAAATAAATAAGCTTTTAAGTATATATCTAAAGATTTATTAGTAAATATATGTTAAATGAGAATATTATAGATATTTATATACCATGTAAAGCAACAAAGTAGAAATGTGAAACAGGCCCAAATTAGAACCAGCTGTCTCTGTTCATTTTTAAACTTAACTCTTTGGTGTTGGTATGTTCAGGTGTCTTATTATGATAAATGAAAACAGTATTGGGGGGTTTTTTTGGATAAAAATATTTTAAAAAGTAAATATTTGTTTCAAGATATCTCTATTATTGTGACTTCAATAGTTTGTGCATTTCTGGTTCATAAAATATCTTGCTTGGAAATACTTTCTCTCTTCATTAATTTCTCTGATTTGTGCAGACTTAAGCATGTGATTCAAAGTTGTTCTATGGATAAAAATGAATTATCTTTTTTTAATTCTCATATTTTTTGTGGACTTAATCTGTATGCAATATCTTGAAACTATTTTTAGCCCTTTTTTATATTTCCAAAGCCACCTTATATCTACTAGCTCATTCAAATCTCACAACCTCCGAGGAAAGCAAGGTGGCCACGGGTGAGAAAACTGAGGGGTCAATAAGGCGAGTCCTTCAAAGATACACTTCTCCCATTAAATGTTAACAAGCACCCAACTCTCTTGACTTTATATGGTACAGCCTGTCATCGAGCATACACAGTGACGAAGGAAGCCCATATTCTGGTTCCATGAAATACTGGCATGTGACCGTGGCAGGCTTTGGTTCCTTCTCTGTAAAACGGGGATAACAATTCCACTGTGATAATAGTAAAGATCATGCAGACTGTGGACTAATTCAGCAACCCCTCCCCTTCCTCCCCAGCGATACACTGCTTCCCGTATGTGAAGAAGCGGATCCCCGTCATGTACCAGCACCACACCGACCTGAACCCCATTGAAGTGGCCATTGACGAGATGAGCAAGAAGGTGGCTGAGCTTCGGCAGCTGTGCTCCTCGGCTGAAGTGGACATGATCAAACTCCAGCTGAAACTCCAGGGCAGCGTGAGTGTTCAGGTGAGCCAGGCACCAGACAAAGCAAGCCACAAGGGCGCCGAGGGAAAGGCTCCTTATTTAAGACCTTGGAAGATTTCAGGCCATTTACACCAGCAAGGCCTAGCGCAGGGTGCTGGCTTTACAGGGTGATCCTGGTTACCTTTCTGCAATGCCTGTGCAGTTCCTCCTAGTACCAGAGGGGGCAGTACCCTGAACTCCCTCCCCCGGCCCCAGCAAGAGCATCATTCTCACTAAACGGGCCAGGAGACAGCTCTCCACACTAGCCTGTTTTTTTTGGTAATTTGGAGAATTCTGGGTGCTTAATTGGAAGCATTGAGACTCCTCTAAATATAAAGAACTGTGGGTAGCTATAGGTGTTCTTATAAAACTGTTTTCTGGTTTCTATAAAAATTGTTATCTGAAAAAGTACCTTAAGTTTTACTCTCTTAATGATATCTTTTGATTAACATGAATTCTTTTTTTAAATTCAGCTTTATTGTTGAAAGTACTACAGATGTCCCCGTTTTCCCCCCTTTGACCCCCTCCACCCACTCCCACCCCCAGGCCAACCGCACTGTTGTCTGTGTCCATGGGTATGCTTATATGCCTATAAGTTCTTTGGTTAATCTCTCCCCCCACCCTTTATTTTAATACAGCCCAATAGATTAATTTTTTCTTTACTGGTAGCATTTTTCTGTGACCACTTTAAGAAATCTGTTCTTAAGAAATCATCTTTGAAACATATTTATGTTTTCCTTCTTTGCTTAACAGTCCTATGTAGATCTGCAAGGTAATGATTATACAAATATGTTCAGTTTATGAAAATTCATCAAGCTATACACTTACATTATGTGCACTTTTCTGTTTGTATATTACACTTCAAAAATACATTTTTTCAGAGGCTTCTTATATGGTTTCCTAAGAAATTGATAAACGTTAAATCACCTCCTTCCAATGACCAGTATGCCTATTACTTTACTGATATTTTTAAGAGTATGTAAATAATTCTAGCACATGTTTTATATATATGTGTGTGTGTGTGTGTGTGTGTGCGCCTGTGTTTATATGTATCTCCAGTTTTTTTCTCTTTCAAGACAGGTGTTTAGGAAAGTTGTATGTAGATTGTAATGCAATCATCTTCTGAAATCAGTTTTTGTCAACTTTTTATCAGATTCGTGCTAAGTTGCTGCCTAACATTTTTCTAAATGTCATTCACCACAGAAGTATTTATAGGTGTTTCAACCTCTTTCCTTATGGCCCAAAAGACTTATGTGCCAAAATAAGTTATCAAGTTAATATGATCATTATTCCAGCAACGTGAGTGATTATATAACGGGGCCAGAGGCCACAATTTTCTGCAGCTAAAAACAAAACCACTCAGCAACGTGACCCAGGAACATCCAGCCTCTATCAAAAGGCCAGCAGAAGGGTGTGGGTGCCAGTAAAAGATGGGGCTGGACAGGTTGAACTTTCTCAGGGACAAAACGTGCCCTGCCATTTGACTGTGACCTTAGAGTTTTACAAATGCTCGATCATCTTAAAAGGCAAAGAATTGCATGATGAAATATGATTAAGTTCATATGTGTGTACCCCCCAAGGTTAACACAGATCCAGAGGAAATTAGCTTTATCATTTGTGCATTTCTGTAATCCTTTCACTGAGAGCCTCGCTGGGGTTGCTGTTGTACAGGACAGAGCCGTCTCTGTATAAATACTCCAAGATCTTGCTGTATTAGAACTTATGAAGTTTCATCAACTTTCCCATTGCATTTTCTTAAAATTGAATATAGTCATCCCTTGGTATCTGTAGGGGATTGGTTCCAGGAACCCCCAGGTATACCAAAATCCATGGATGTTCAAGTCCTTTACATAAAATGGTGTAGTATTTTCATAAAACCTACACACATCCTCCCATATACTTTAAATCATCTGTAGATTATAATACCTAATGCTATGTAAATAGTTTTTATACTGTATTATTTAGGATGTAATTGCAAGAAAAAATTCTGTTCATGTTCAAAACAGAAACAGCCACCTGAGTCCTAACTACATAGTACCTGTCAGCAACAACGTACCCTTTTTTTTAATCCTCGCCTGAGGATATGTTGAGAGAGAAAGAGAGAAACATCGATGTGGGAGAGAAACATCAGTTGCCTCACGTAACGCACCCCAACCAGGGATCAGACCCTCCTTTTGATGTACGGGACAATGCTCCAACCAAAACATAATTTTTAAAAATATATTTTTTTTATCTGTGGCTAGTTGAATCTGCAGATGCAGAACTTTTGGAAACAGAGAGCCAACTATATGTGTATCATTTTGGATAATTGGTCATTTGGGTCATCTTCAAGTTATTAACGTAGTCTCATACACACACATATCCAGTGTGATGGCACATTCAGTCATCACAGAAAGTTAGCTCGTGGTTCCTGTCTCAGAGGGCCCACCAATTAGAAATGGCCCTCTGTCTGCCCACCTCTGGTGTGAATTCCCACACCACAGATCTCCTACCATTACTGTGTAAGTCCTGCACACCATGGACAACCCATTCCTTCACCAACAGCAACAAAAAAGACAGCCCTCTCTACTTAATTACTTGCCAAGCCCACCCGACCATCCAGGAAAAACGCTGCAGTAATCACGTGGTAAAGCCCTTTCCCAAGCTGTCTCAGATGCCTGGAACTTTCTCCTTCCCATCCAGTGTGTCTAGCTTGCTTTTGGTCTACATTCCCACATTGCCTGACTTACCCAACAGAAGACTCTTCTCAGCTAATTGAGACATGCAGGGTTCTGGTTCACACATCCTGTTGCCAAATGCCCCCAATCTTTGGCCTTCCAGCACACCACAGATGGTAACTTCATTCAAGGCTAGCAAATCAGTTTGTCCATGGCTATCTACACATTTCAATGAGGTGAACAGGGTTTTCTTTTTTAATGGGCATACATACTATATTTTTTTCAGTTTTCCACTGAACTCAACAGGTTGAATGTCACATAGCCAAATACCAGGTGGAAGACTTGGGCTCTGATCTCAGGTGTTTGGCTTATTGGATGTTCAGCCTTGAATAGGTACTTATGTTTTCCAAGCTTTGGTTCTTCCTACATAAAATGAACTCCAAGGATGGATGGTAAAATCAAATGACATGTAGCAGTAGAAGCTTTATTCATGGTTTTCTCTTTTGGGTGGTAAGTCCCTGGAAGGCAGGGGTCATGACTAACTCAGACATCATTTTTAGAACATACCAACTGAAGCTAAATTGATGATAAGGTCATTTTCTTTATAACATAATTTTAAATCTTTGTTCTTTATCTAGGTCAATGCTGGTCCACTAGCATATGCCCGAGCTTTCTTAGATGACACAAACACAAAAAGATATCCGGACAATAAAGTGAAGTTGCTTAAAGAAGTTTTCAGGTAAAGCACACTTGAAATGTCTCTTTCTCTTCAAGTATGAACAACTTCTGTGCTCGATCACGGAAGAAGCACTACCACTTGGACTAATTCTTTGTCCTCAACATGCCTTTATTTTCCTCTCCCATATATTTCAGGCAATTTGTGGAAGCTTGTGGTCAAGCCTTAGCAATAAATGAACGCCTGATTAAAGAAGACCAATTAGAATATCAGGAAGAAATGAAGGCCAACTACAGGGAAATGGCAAAAGAGCTTTCTGAAATCATGCATGAGCAGGTACACTGGAGTTCTCATTTTTGGGGATCATGTGTTAGTTGGGGTCTTAAGTACACCCTATGTTGGTCTACACTTTCTGACAATCTTCCAGAATTTTGAAAATAGTATAGCGCTCTATACTGCTGCTCCTGTCTAACCACAGGTTACTTGGGGAACAATTAATAAATTGCCTACCTGTTAGTATCTAGCGTGACCAGAGAGCAGCTCCCACCTCCTCTTCAACAATCTTAGAGGTGGCCCCTCCCCACTCTAGCTTAAAAAACAACAACAACTCACATGAAAAAGAAATACCTGACTGGCCAGCGTAGTTCAGGGATGAGCATCGACCTGTGATCCAGGAGATCTCTGTTCAGTTCCCGGTCGGGCACATGCCTGGGTTGCAGGCTCAATCCCCAGTGCGCGGGGGGCAGGAGGCAGCCTGTCAGTGACTCTCTCATCAATGACATTTCTCTCTCCCTCTCCCTTCCTCTCTCTGAAAACAATAAAGATATATTTTTTAAAAAAGAAAAGAAATACCCATACTGTCCCCTAGGATTTTCTTTACTCACCCAATCCTTTGAAAGAACAGGATTTACCAGCTGGTTTAAGGAATTATCTGTTGTATTAAATGTCTTTTGCCATTTACAAAAATAGGGTTGTTCAATTTTTGCCTGTTTAGAGCTGACCGGGGTGCCCCCGTAGATTCTTCACAGCTACTTCTATATTCCTCCTCATTATGGGATCTTTTCTAACTGTACTGCTACTATTGCCTTCCTGTACAAATTCCTTTCAGTAGAATCGTGCATGTGGGCTCAGTAGTCATCAGAGGGGACAGCTTCCCAGGGATCCCAGCTTCCACATAATTGCGGAAAGGTCCGTTCTTTGTCAACCACAGTGACTCCTTCCGAGTCACAGTGCCATCTTTATAGTTAGTGTTAGCACCTTAATAACACAGAACTACTTCTGTCTCTTCCGTGCAGTCTCACCTTTTAGTCTTGCAAAATCAAAGCCAGGACCATTTGTGTCAGTTAACATATCATGTGATGACTTAGTTAGGAAATGTCTGTTGTAGGAACATAAATGTCTAAGTTTTAACTTGCTTACTTTTTTTCTCTTTCATGCTAACACATTCAGATGGGATGGTAATGTCATTTTTTAATTTTACTTTTTCTGAAACTTGATTAACTGACTCACATAAAGTTATTCCTGAGTTTGGGCAACCGCAGACATTGGCATAGTGACAAATGCATGTGCAAAAGAAGGCAGCCCTCTTCTGGGCACTTAGAAAAGTAGGAAAAAATTGAAATGATTAAAGAAATAAATGTGTGAATAATTAACCAGAATATGAGGGCCTCACGGGAACAGTGTTCGGAGAACACGCAGAGTCTTTTCCATGGAGCCTCCAGTTCCTGTAGAATGGGGAGCTTGACCAGTGGCCACCAGCACATGGCACTAGAAAAGGTGAAAGCAGGAAAAAAATTATGGGCTGAAAATATTACAATAAACTCCCAGATTGTATGGACATTTGATGCAGCACTGTGCTCTAAACTTGAACTTTCCATTATCTCAACAACTATGAAGATTAAACTCTTTTGAACCCTTAAGGACAAAGGGCCATAACCTGGAGTAGACTTGCTTTTGGCTTTTCCAGGGGAGCCTCTGAGTATATATGTTCTTCTGCCAGCAATAGGTCACATCTTGCCCTTAGGATCCTTCCCTGCATTACTGAATGCAAAAAGACTTGTTCAGGTCAAAGGGACAGCAACAATCTCTGTCCCAAGACCCTGAGAAAAGGAGCCAGTAGAGAAACACAGATGCTCCAGATTCATTTTAGAAGATTTTTCCAGGGGACAGGCTAGGCCGTGTCCCCATCAAGTATGTGTAAGACAGACTTCAAGCACCTTAGCATCTGGTGAGTCTAGAATGCTTTCCCTTCACTAACTTGTAAAGGAAACAAAACACGTTTGTTCTGGACTTTCTCTTTATAATCCTGACCTGAAAAACATCATTCACTAAATGAGCCGACCCAATCCTTCTACAAACCTCCAAAATCAAACTCTCCACCCGAGCAGACCGTCATTCAGAGTAACCCTTACCCTTGGATGTAAATCGTGTGTATGACATGAAAGGCACCGTTTTGAGGAATGTTGTTCAGGGCATTACACTGGGGTAACGTTGTGTTTCTGTGCCTCGAGATCTGCCCCCTGGAGGAGAAGACGAGCGTTTTACCAAATTCCCTTCACATCTTCAATGCCATCAGTGGGACTCCAACAAGCACCGTGGTTCACGGGATGACCAGCTCGTCCTCAGTTCTGTGATTCGCCTCATGGACCACGCGTGGGGACTTGGTTTGTCATTTGCAAACTCAGGATGATTTCCAAAGCTAATCACTGGGCTCGTGCAAGACACGGGGAGACCGAGCACAAGGAGAAATCAGGGGAATGGGGGAGAAAGGAAACAAAGAATTGTATTACTTCATAGCAGATTTTTCTAGAGGAGTCAGAAGAGGGCACGTATTTTTTTAAATCTCGCTGGCAATATTCAAAGTTTTCATTATGTCTTAACACAGGTATGTGGTGGACACTCAAAAACTGAAGCTAGATTTATTCTTCCTTACAAAGCAGTATGGAAATAAATGGCCTAGAGAAACAAGTGTTCTGGAATGAACAGAGCAGGGACAGTAGCACTGAAATTGAGGCAGGGGTAACCCTATGCCTCGAGGCTAAGCTGGGAAATCTTGAAAATATTTTTTCCTGTGGCACATTCAGGTTGAATACAAGAACTATTTTTGTGACTAGTTTTTGATGACCTAAGGGAACTGACTGTTGTAATTTTTGTACCAGTGAACCAGGAGGTTTAGTGCTTTTATATGTATTTACTTGCATCTAAAAAAAAACAAAAACAGAAAAGCTTAAGAGACGATGTGAGCTTAAAACTAGTCAAGCAGTTTAGAACCAAAGGCCTGTATTAATAAAAACAGCTATGCTAAAAGTTGAAAGTAACGCAGTATATTGTCATGTACATATAGTTTGTTAATCAGTCTCAGCGTTCTGTACAGATGTGTTCCATTTCTACATTTTTAATACTCCTCACATGAGCTCCTTCATTAAGTTTAATTGTGACACATTTGTGCTGTTCTTAGTGTATACAAAACACTGACTTTACTGTTTTATTCTTGTACATAAAAAGTGCAATATGGAGATGTGTACAGTCTTTGCTATGTTAGGTTTATAAACTGTTTTAAAAAGTTCATCCTTTTGCCAAAGTGGTGGAGTATGTCATCGGTAAACCATGAATCCTGTGGTGAATAACCATGTGATTTAAAGCTTTCACCATGTTATATTTTCTTTTGAGACATTAATTTAGTAATTTTATATTGGGGAAAATAAAGGTTTTTAATTTTATTTAACTAGAATCTCTGCCCTGCTGTAATTAAACATTCTGTACCACATCTGTATTAAATATATGCTGATTTTCTGGTTGTGAACATTGGGTATTTATTGTTTAACAGTCCTGAGAGGGACAGGATATTGAAGCACTCAGGAGTGAAAAAATGTGGTATATGAAATTTGTTTTAAAATACTTGAGGGGAAAAAAGAGGGTAGATGGATGAAACAAGATTTACAAATGTTAGTGATTCTTGAGGCTGAGGTTGGGTATACGGGGAATCATGATACCGGTTTCCATGATACAAATGTCAAGGGACAGGTAGGTGGAGGGAACAGATCTTCCGGACAACTTGGGTAAATGCCTTGTCGCACCTGTTCTGGCTCTGAATTCTATTCTTCCCCAAGTATACATAGACACCGTATTACCTCTGGCTTTTCCTCTTCAACTATATCAAGACTTCCACCTTTATCATCGCCTTTGCTCGCTTTGATGTGAAGACTGTGGTCATATACCCCGAAATGCACAGGTGGCCACATGTGCACACACTCAGCGTGCCCTGCGTCATCACAAACACTGAACCCCAGTCAAGTGATGGCTCCGACTGCAGGGGCCAGTCCTGCCTCTGCTGTGCCCAGTGACCCAGCAGGTGAGTCAGGTCATTGTCATTCGGCCCCATGTGGTTCCAGTGGTGGAAGAGGAGTCTTTCCACAAGAAGTGAAATGGCTGGTTTTCCTCCTTGGAGGGTTTTAAAGGCTGTCCTTTTACATAACCAGTTGAGGAAAGAAAATGTGATGGTGTGTACACCTTGGACACCCAGATGCCAAGGATCTTTTGGTGTCTTTGAAATGTTCTCTGTCAGTGGTAAGGCTATATTTTACAGATGGAGACAAGGTCATGAAGAGATGGTGAAGCGTTATGGAAACTCACCAGAGTCTACAGCCCATTCATTAGTGGATCCAGATATTGGGCTTAAGAAGTTTTTCTATGTAAGTTTGCGCTGAGGGTCTGACATCCTAAGCCCTTGAGTTTGACATCAGCAGGAATGGATATAACATATTGTCTCTGTTGTCACTGAACTGGATTTCCTACTCATAAATGCCTCATTTAGAAGCTATAAAACTTAAGTCACCATGGAGTAATACAAACACAAGTCTAGAAAGAGCTAACTTGCTGTCTCATCCTTAAACTTGGGGAGTAATCTGTACCCATGTCATTGTCAGATAAGATTCAACTTGGAAGGTGACCCACCCTCATTTATTACAGCAGTGGAGAAAGGAGCCGTCTCTAAGTTGAGGACATCTATTGACCCTGCAATGACACAAGTTCATATCAATTAAAAACCTCATTTAGTTTTTGTATTGAAATTTAATTTCAGTATAAAATTATATATTTAACAATTAGAGAATTTTTTTTAACATTAAAAAATCTTTGGCTAAAAAAAATAAAAAAATCTTTGGCTGTTTTAATCATTTTTTTAGTGTTTTGCATGAACTTTTTTTTAATAGAGGCAAGTATACATAACATACAATTTACCATTTTAACCATTTTTAAGTGCACAGTTCAGTGGCATTCAGTACATCCTCGATGTGCAGCCATCACAGCCATCCATCCACCGAACTTTTTTATCATCCCAAACAGAAACTCTGTATTTTAATAACTCCCGATTCCTCCTTCTGGAAAATTGTTTTTGAAGTAACTGTGAAATTAAAACTCAAGTTAGTACCTTATCAGGTATATTTTCTACCTGGGAACTGACTCTAGGTAGTAGACATAAACAGAGCCAGTCCCTTGCACGGAGAAAGCTGCTGAGACTAAGAATGGGAAATTGGAAGGTAACATATGAAATAACCGTGAGGACTTGTTTATGCGACAGTTACTCTGTGTAGAAACTCCATTCAAAAAAATATTTGATTTTCATCAACGGGATCCTTTGCCTAAACTATGGCCCATCCACACAGTGGAGGGCTGCGTAACTGAAAAGGAAGTAGGAATATCTCTACGCTGCTTAGATTGATCTTCAAGAAACTAAGTGAAAAACACAAGATAGAGAAAATTGTGAGCAGTGTACTACCCATTATTTAAGAAAGGAGGGATATATAAATAAATGCATTTGTTTTTTTAGATTGAAGAGAAAAAGTTTTAAGTTACTACCTATAGGGGGAGAGAAAGCAGGATATATAGGGGACAGAGTTAGAAGATAAACTTGTCCAAATATAATTTGCGTTAATATTCGCCTTTCAAATCGTGAATGTTTACATAATTATTTAAATGACTTTTTAATTCCTAAAAATTGAAGGCAAATGAAATAAATGAACATAAGCAAATAGCAGGTTGGTGACAGATACACAGGAATTATTTCAAATGACTTTATAGGAATTGTATTGTGCATCCCAGGAGGATGTACCCTAAGGACAAAAATAGTGGCAATAAATAAATGAATGGTAATAAAAACCATTTTCAGTAATTGCTTTGTGGAAGTAGCATATTGTTTTTGTGAGGTTGTATTGCTATTCTGAGACACTTATATGCTTATTGCTGGAAACAGTAAATGAGCAATTATGTTGACATTGTTGAGAATCAAGTTTTTGTCATGGAAGGGAAAAAGTTACATCTATAAGGCCAAAGAAGTGAAATTAAAACCTTTTCGTTTTGAATTTGATATGGAAATACCAATTTGAACTCATGATAGATTTTTCTTAAACATACACACTTATTTCTTAACTTGGTCCACTGAAAAGGCCTAAAAACAGTGACCAAGCCAGTAGCTAGTGATCACTCCTAAATGTCCAAATCCTATTCTCTAAACACCTTTTCTACCAAAAGGACCCAGGGCTCCCTGGGGAAAGGTTGATTCTAGGTTTAGGGCAAAAGGTGTCCAAAATTAGTCTGGAGCATCTTTTCATACCAGACATCCAGGGACTGGCAATTCCACTTTGGGGGCTATGCCCAAAAGAAATGAAAGTGGGAACTTAAACAGATACTTGTATACCCATGTTCATAGCGGCATTATTCACAACAGCCAAAAGATGGAAACAAGCCAAGTGCCCGTTGATGGATGAGTAGATAAGCAAACATGGTATGCATATGTAACAATATTATTCAGCCTCAAAAGGGAAGGAAATTCTGGCACGTGCTACAGCATGAATGAACCTTGAGGACATTGTATGTTCAGTGAAATAAGCCAGTCACAAACGGATAAATACTGTATGACCCTACTCATATGAGGTACCTAAAGCGGTTAAATTTGTAGAAAGTAGCAGGATGGTTGCAGGGTCTGGGGAGAGGGAAAGTGGGGAGTTAGCGTTTAACTGGTACACAGTTTCAGTTGGAGAGATGAAAGTGTTTGAGGGATGGATGGTGGTGATGGTTGTGCAATAATGTGAATATACTCAAGGCCCAGACCTGTACACTTTAAAATGGTTAAAATGGTAACTAGTCTTCTAGTTACCATTGGATATATTGGTTTGCAAATATTTTCTCCCAGTCTCTTGCTTGTATGTGCATCCTCTTAACGGTCTTCTCAGAGCAAGCACTTACTTTTAGGACTGACTCTTCTCACTTAGCACAGTTCTCTAGACAATCCACTTAGAACATGGGCAAAAAACTTGAAGAAACATTTCACTGGAAAGGGTAGACCGGTGGCAAATAATGAAAAGATACTCAACATCGTCAGCCATGACGGTCATGCGAATCAGAACCACAGGGAGATGTCATATGCACCGGTCAGGATGACTAAAACCACACAGAGTGACACCACCAAATACTGGCGAGAGAAACCGGATCACTCATCCATCGCTGGTGGAAAAGTAAAATGGCACAGCCTCTCTGCAAAACATTTGACGTTTCTTAAAAAGCTAAGTACGTAAAGACCATATGACTCTGAAATTGCAATCTTGGTCATTTGTCCCAGAGATATGAACATTTATATTCACTCAAAAACATACACACCAATGTTTATAGCAACTTTCTATATAATAGCCCCAAACTGGAAGCAACCTAGATGCTCAGCAGGCAAACAGACTGTGGTGCATCCAGGCCATGGGGTGCTGCTCAGCCATAAAACAGAACTACTGATGCTCGCAGCCACCTGTGACTAGAGAATGATACTGAGTGAGAAGAGCCAGCGCTAAAAGGTTACATACAGTATGATTCCATTTACATAATACTCTTGAAATGACAATTCTAGAAATGGAGAGATTAGTGATTGCCAGGGATTAAAGAAGAGGCGGGTGGGAGGGAAGTCAGGGGCCGTGAAAGGGTAGTGTGACGGGTACCCAAAGCTGCCTGCTGCCTGTCTTGTCCTCTCTCCTGCCGGCCAAATGCTCCTACACAGGGCTGGCCTGTGTTGCCGTTAGGGGGTTGTCTGATCCAAGACCACAGCTGAGCATCAAGCAGAGTGCATGTGACTTGGCTTGGAGTTAGGGACATAAATATCTGTCAGATGTTGCAGTGAAGTGTAAAACCACTTTAAGCAAACTGGTCTCACATAGTATGAAAATAATGAAGTTTCCTTTTCCTGACTCACTCTCTGGTATTCCTCGTGACTGTAAGTATGTCCCCATTCTCATGTGTGACTTAGCCCCATGGTGACAAGTCTGGAAGGAGGTTCCCCACAGAGTTTGGAGTGCACATTTGTCATTCTCTTGGCACTCATATAGTTTGCAACCATGTCAGTGCCACCTGGCCTTGCAAGTTTCTGGGTAATGCCCACCTGAGGACAGAGCTGAGAGCCTGGCCTTGAGTCCTACTGTCAACCATACAATCCCTTTGGCCAGTGCACCCATCATTTCCTGTTCCCTTCACCAACTGACAGGATCAAACACCGTGCCTTTAGTACTCTGGGACTGCTCCTTTAGACCACATGAGATCATCCTCTGTCCTGCTTTCTCTCCCAGAGCTGTGTGAAGAAGTGACCTTGCTATGATTGTTTAGACTCCAGCTGGGAGCACAGCTGCAGCAGTCACCTCCTGTCCCTGGGCAGCCATGTGCTTCTGCCCTTGGCCCATGCAGTGGGGTAGGACGCACATTGACTGAAGAAGGGGAAGGTTGCCCCCCAGATCAGCCGAGCCTTGCTCTTGATGTGTAAGATGGCATGTC